CACTTAGAGTTTGATAATAAACTAAGATGAGTGAGTTAGTTAGCATTCTAGCTTTAGTGACACTGTAAATAGTATAGTCTATATTATGTTTAATAAAGCACACATAACTAACCTGACAGTGGGTTAATAAAAAAAAAAATAAGTGATTAGATTCTTTTTCTTCTACTTAAGGATGATCAATTCTTATATTTTTAGAACTTTTATACTACTTATTTTTGGTCATGTTTATAGAACCTTGTATCATATCTTGCCTTGTTATGACTGCAATAAGTATATGGGTTCTTCTTTATTTTTTATTAGGATATCTGAAACCAGTTATATGTAAAAGACTTGTATAACTTATGCTAACCTTATATAGAACCTTGTGTTAATTTGTTGTTCTTATTATAGATATAATAATTGAATATGTTCTTCTTATTACCTTGTTGAGATATTTGATTATCATCATAGGGAAACAAGATCTTCATACTACCTTATAATTTAATTTTTCATTTGGTTCTCATGTGGTATTGAACTCTGAACCTTGTAATTATGATCTGAAAGTACAATCACTATGCTATAAATCTATAGGTCTATATATTTTGATAAAATTATTAATAATAAAAAAGAAAAGTTTATAGATATATCTTTTTTAAATTAAGCAAGTTTACAAAAACAATTATAATATCAAAAAACAAATAAATAATATATAATATTATATTTTTACTTATTATCAAGTTTTTTGAATTAAAAAAATTATTTTTTTTTTTTTAAAAAAACTAAAGTATTCAAGTTTATTAAAGTTTTTATTTTAATCAATCTAAGTTAAAATACTTTTAATATTATTATTTTAATTAGATCAATAGAAAATAAAATTTTTGTCTTATAAACTAAAAATAATAAAATTTTTAGATAATATATACTTTTATTAATCAATAGATAATTTTTTCAAATAGTCTAAAACTAGAAGATATTTTAATTAGAAAAATTTCTTTTAAGAGAATATTATTTATTTAAATAAAATCTTTTAAAAAAGTTTTAAATTGTTTTTTTTAATTATATTTTTTAATATATTAACTTAATAAATTATTATTTTTCAAAATAATTGATAATAACAAATTATTAATAATAATTTTGATAAGTAAAAATAAATACTAATTTATTAGAGAAGTAAAATATAGTTTTTTAAATGATTTAAAGTAATTAATAATATAAAAAAAAAAATAAGTTAATTATTATATAGAAGTTTATATACTATAATATTATAGATATTTATTTAATATTTTAATAAAAATATACTATAAAAAATAATTGTAAATTAAACAAAAAAATAATTAAATAAAATAAATTTTTCAAATAATTATTTTATGATCAAGTTTTTTAGATAGTTAAAAGTAAATATTTTAATTAAATTATTTTTTAAAGAAAAATTTAATAGATATAATATAGAACTTTAAAAAATTTTCAAATTATTTCCTATTTTCTTTTTATTTTTGTTATCTTTTTATGTATTTATGTATTTTAATTTCTTTGTTTTATGCATTTAATTCAATAATTTATTAATTTTGAAATAATTAATAGTAATAAACTATTAATAATAATTTTTTGACAAGAGTCAATAATGTATAAAAATAAATTAGTTATCATGTGATTATTAATATGTTTATTTGCTAATAATTGTAAATTTGAAAACAGCTTTGTAAATTTATCAGATTTTCTATTATAAATTTTATGATATAACGCTCACTGCATGCACTTGTGATTTGAAAAATGCCAATTTAAAAAAATTTTTTTCTCCAAATCAATAATTCTATACGATACTAATGGAGATGATATTGGTGATAATAGATCAAATTCGATAATCGATAATTCGCGGAAAACATCATCCTTCAACCAATGATTTCTTAATAAAAAAAATTATTTTTCTTTATTTAACTTTTTTTTTTTTTTTTTAACGTAAACAGTATTTTTGAACTTATAAATACTATTACAAATGATGCCGGATAGCTAAATAATAATAAATAAATCTATTAACTTACAAATCCTCAGATATCGACACCCATTTGGCCTTAGCGTTTACGGTGTTACAGAAAACTCTAAGAAATCGATCTATTGAGATAATAGTTGAGAAATTCAGAGGTCAAAGGATTTTTCGAGCACAGAGATGCACGTATCACAAATTATTTACCTATAAATATTTAGTTTTCTTAAATCTAAAGAAATATAAGCTACTTCAGATATTCTACGATACTTTTTATCAATCAATATTAATATTGGCAAGAATTTGGGCTTGCCAGAGTTTATAGAGCAGCATCACCGCTTAGGATTATCTCAGGAAATGCGATAGCAGTAGTGTAATCTCCAAAGCATTCATCCACTATATAGGTTTTTTAAATTCTCGTGACCTTTGCGCACTACGGGCGAGCCGGAGGCTTGATAATAACTCGATAAGGAAATTAGTAGTGTAGTCTTCAGCACATTAATAATAATAAGACGAAATTTGATACGAAATGGCCCGGGGGGGTTTGGTAAAAAGTTTTTAATAATTCAACAAAGCCGGGAAGAGGAGAAATGAGGTGACGCGGGGATTTGGTAAAAAGTTTTTAATAAATCTTTAACCGCAGAATTTTATGTAAAGGTTAAACCAGGAAGGCGAACCCGAGGTGGCGAGGGTTTGGTAAAAGGTTCTTAATAAACTTTTACCCGAAGATTTGGTAAAAGTTTTTAAAAATCCTCCCTTAAAAATTTTATAAGTGTCGAGCATGCCAATTAGACACATATGTATCGACACCGATCACTCTTAGAGATGGTGAGCCCAGTATCCCGCCGGTCTAAATTTGGTATTAGCATGAATAAGATAGTATTATTGATAATTAAATCGCATAAATTTGACTGTGTTGATATTAAAGGCGTGGTATAATAGAGAATAAATATCCTCAAGAACGTTTCTCCCCAATAAATAAAAACGTAGAAATCTTGCAAATACCTTATCTGGGTTCTTCTAGATTGCAAAAATTAAAGTCATCCGTCTATTGAGCGTTGAGAAGGCGAAAACAGGTATTTAGTGGAAAAAGGATACAATAACCTCGAGAATACATTATAGAACGGACGTATCACACACACACACACCAGTACTGTACTTGTATTCAAATGAAATTTTGTGCATTTTGTTGATTGGATTATGTTGATGTACTATATATATACCGTAGGTACGCGATTTCGTGTGGCTGTGAAACTTATAAATTCACGTGGATCGCGTCTATTGGTTGAATTAAAACCTATTGCCTGACTGCATGTACTACCTACCGTACACCCTCTTCAATTTATTTTGAGGTATGTGCAGTGCTGGTGAAGTTTCTTTGATGAATGAGTTTAGAATTCTTAGCATGGAATCTTGGCATTTTAAAAGAGATGCTTAATTTGGAAACACAGCCTCGTAGAATTTTTACAAATATGCACACATTGTTAGATATTGATTGATAATTCTTGAAAATATTCTATAGCTTCAAAGTGGCGTAGATAAAAGATATCGGTTGGAATGATATGTATGTATGTACCGTATGTACATTACGGTGCGTACGAACATATGGTTGGCATTAAAAGTAACACCCGATTTTTTATTTGATTTACGAGCAAATCGGGCGTCGTACTTTTGCGTGGACACACGTATTTCACAATATCATCATGGATCGGCTAAAACCAGATTGGTATTTTTCGGATAACAAATAAATATTCTTTTTACCGAAATTGGGTGAATTCATGCCATTTTGTTTATATCGAGTGTAACGTATACGAAAATTCACTTCAATGAAAGTGGATAAATATATATAACTCTCTTCAACACGTTTTATTCCTTAATTTTAATTTTTCACGCAAGTATTCGAGGTAAAGATTTATTTATTTTTGTTTTGTACCAAGGAAAATATGTCTAAAATGGACGCCATTGCATGTAAGATGGTGTAGATGACGAAACACTACGTACATACTTATTTCTTTGTTATCAAAAATACAGATCACCTTCTTTATTTAGAATCTTTTAGCAGATCTAGTTATCGCTTAATCCTTTCGGATCAGAAAAAGATCATTATAAATAATTTTGCGGCTTACTTGTTCCTTGAACTTGACATACAATTTCATTATTGCACACAAACGACCGTAGATTATTTGTAAATAAATTATTGTTAAAATGACTCCGAATCAACCGAATTTCCTCTCTCCAACAAACATCGATTTGAAAGGTATGGAAGCCATGCTAGAACGATTCTCAAATTACCCTCCATCTACAATCAAAGATGAAATCATCTCACGATTAGTGAGCGAGATAGGGGTTCAGGGCAGAGCCTTTAGAACCCTCACGAAGGCTAGCATGGCACAGTGTGCGGGATTGATCAAACTTACTACAGACGTTATCGTTAACTTTGAGACACTCTCGTCCAAAGGTTCAAATTTCTCATTACACTCATCTGAAATGACCATCTCGGAGGTACTTAAAGAATGTGATCAGATCCGAAAAGGCTACAGCGATATATCTAACAATCTGCATCGAATATCTGGTGATTTCCAGATGTATAAATCTAACCTCGAAAAGGAACTATACGTGCTTCATCAGGAAGCCACCAGTTTACGTCATCGTGCAGGGGCGGAAAAATTAGAGATCGGAAGAG